AGAGGAAAGAGGAAAACTTTATGACCTATGTAGGGGAAAAAGTCCTTAGATATGATTCAAAAAGCATAATTCATAAAAGTTGTTTATTAGGACTTAACAAAATTTAAAACTTACATTTTAAAAAACACCATTAAAAAATAAAAACAAACCCTGGCCTGTGTGACGCAGTTGGAGCTTTGTCCCCTACACTGAAAGTGGTGGGTTCAATTGCCAGTTGGGGAGCATACAGGAGGCAGCCAATCAATGTTTCTCTCTCACATCAGTCTTTCTCTCTTTCTCTCTCTCTCTTTCCCCTTCCCCCCCCAAATCAATAAAAAGCATATCCTCAGGTGACGACAAAGAGTAGCTTTTCCTCAGTTATTTAAAAAGATGAAATGAAATAATGAAATTAAAAAACAAGCCACAGACTAGTAAATGTTTGCAAAGTGTGTATTTGATAAAGGGCTTATCTACAGTCTACATGGTGTCCCCAAAAATGTATACACACTTTAACAGCTGATAGCTCAATTTTGAAAATGAAATGTATTTTAATAAATCTTGCCTTTATAATTATTCAGAGTGTGTGTACACATTTTTGGGGGGATACCCTGTATATGAGGAACTCTTACAACTGAATAAGGAGACAGTTCCAGTTAAAAACAGGCAAAGATTTGAATAGATACTTCACCAAAGAATATATATGAATGGCCAGTAAGCACATTGAAAAAATAAGTGATATTAGACATTCGGCATATATGTATTAAAATCACAGTGAGATACACCCCTAGAATACTAGACTCAAAAGCCAATACTGTGGCTTAAGAGAAGACAACTGGAGACTCCCTGCTTCTACATTCTGTTACAATATATCTCTTAGGTAAAAGAAGGCCCAGGTGGGGCAGAATCTGGGTGGAAGGGGTCAATGGGGGGGAAAAAGGGGATACTCTCAACAATAAAGAATTTTTTTAGAAAGTACATGAGAAGAACCTGGCCTCACCAGACATATAGTTGGAAAAGGGAGTACTTTAATTACCTTTCAGATAATTATGGATATTATCCTTTGATTCCATACCAAAACCAGATAATTCGCCATTTTTAAAAGGTTAGTTACCATGTGGAACCTGAAACCACGTCAGTGAATTTTTGTAATGTGGTACATTTATAATCTATTTACTGTCTTGAAAAATAAAAACTAATACCTAGTTTTAACAATGATGTGGAGAAACTTCAAACATTCTTTGTGAGACTGTGAAATGGTATAGCCACTTTGGAAAACCATATGGCAGTTTCTTAAACAATTAAAAATAAAATTACCAACAACTCCCTGTTTATAGCATTATATCCTTAAGCATAACCTAGCATGTAATATATGTTTAATTAATACTTGTAGGTGAGTTAGTTTGGAGCTTAAAATCTCCACCAGGGTCATGATAAAAGCAGAGTTTAGTGGGTTAACCCAAACAAAATGATACTGCTCACAGTCCCTGCTATAAGTGAGCCAAAAGTGCTTTCCTGGCTCTTGAATATTTATGAGATAATCAAGGTGTATTTCTAGCAACCTGTTTGGTTTTATTTCAGTTTTTAAATACACATGTCTTTCTTATCATAGATACTCTTCTTATTGACTATCAGTTCACCTTTAGCCTGTCCCAGGAGGATGACCGCTATTACACAGCCATCAATTTTGTGGCTACACCTGATGAAGTAAGATTTAAAAGTCTTTTTTTTTTTTTTTGTCATTATGGATAGAAGCACTGCCTTAGCAGGGGTCTCCAGAATGGAGCACACAGGATGATGTTTAGAGGTACAGAAAAGAAAAGTTAGTATCTACATTTTATCTCCTTTCCACCTAAAAGGCAAGAATGGTTTTAAGATTTACCAGTATCTGATTCACAGACTGACCTTGACTCCACACAATCTTGGTTTGCCCATCAGCCCATTGCATCCCCATACAGAAAAGGAGAGACTGCAAGGGAAACTCCCCCCATCAGAGGGGCAGATGGCAGAGCCCAGATTTACTTTCTCCAAGTAGATCAGAGGCTTAATAGTACTCACAAAGAAACTGGATTAAAATCAATGCCAGTGAAGCAAGGGAGGTGGCAGAGGTGACACTTCTCATAGAATAAGTTATTAGGCTCATTAGGAGGTAAAAACAATGAAGGTTTAGTTGGATCCAACAAAAAGTCAACCAGAAAGAATTGAAATTATTAAGAGGACTATTTGAAACGTGGATTAATATCAACTGTGGTTAATGATGAATCCTAGCTTGCCATAAGGTATTTCCTAGTGGTAGAAGGGAGCCAATGCAAAATGACATTTAAAATTGACGCATCTAGAACATGAAGACATACCTACACAGTTTCTACAATGAAATATAAAGTCATTCATTACCCACTCCAGTACATAATGAAATTTTTCTAAACCTGATGATAAATCATTTAGGAGCCTCCTTAGAAGTTTCTTATTTCTCATCAGTGTACTTAAAATGAAAATATTTTGTGGAAAAATTATGTAGGCATATCATTTCAGGGGCTGTGTTAAGTGGAATTTTGAAAAAAGATTTTTGGATAAGGTTATAGCAAAAGTACCAAACATGAAATTTATTTACTTCCTTATTCATAAGCAAGGGATTGAAGTGCTCAGTATTTCAGGATGTAATTGATGTTGTTAATTTTATCTTAAATGATCATAGTAGACTCTTGGTATTACTTCTTAGTTAGGTGGGGAGTGACCATGAAAATCTTTGGACCTCTCTGGAGTTCCCTGTTTATCTTAAGAGAGAATATTTAATAGAGGTATCCAGTATGTATCTTCTGTCTTTTAAAAAAGCACTGCAAATTTATTGATCCTTTCTGTGAAGAAGTAATTGTTAGTAGTGTGCTGCTAGCAAATATTAAAATTAAACACTTGAGCTGTCCTTTCAAGAGGAAGGTGAGGTTGTTATCAATAAATGAAAAGGTAACTGCTTTATGAGAGAAACTTCTGATTTGGAGATTCCATTTTGAAAACGTTCCCATTGTTGTGGTTTTGTCCTGTAAAAACTATCAAAACAATACCCTTAAAATTTTAATTTTCTAATGTGTTTTATCTTACAAAATGAAGAATTTCAGCAAGATTGGATCCATTTTTAAAATATAAAATTACAATGTATGACTTATTTGCAAAAATACCACCAAGAAAAATTTATTTGCCAAATGTCAGTAAAAAGTAAAAAATAGTATTAAAATTTACACAGTTCTCAGACATATCTTTTCAGTCATCAAAACCAAGAATCAAAATAAATTCAATTAGTTCTTTAAAGTTCTATATCTCTTAAGTGGTAAACAAGGTTTTCAAAGCTAATGAAATATATTTAGTCATCTTTCTCTTGAAATAATATTTTTAGTGAGAGAAAAATGTTATTCATATCACCAATTAATACAATCAGATTATTTTTTTATTTAGTTTATTTCAGCATTATATGCTGCTTTTAAAACCATTTCTGTTTTGGAGAACTTTACACTGTATTCGTTCAGAAGTACATAGGCTGAATTTATAAATACATATAAAGTGGGGCCCTTGATCAAGTGTTTTCCTACCCAGACATTTGGAAACAGCTTCCCAGAGGTTCCTTAGGAGGCTAATTTCCCTAACATAGACTGTAAGTCATTGTGCACTGGTGAGGCTATTTTTAAAAAAGATATCTTTTTCATGGAGTTAGGCATTTGATAAACCATTAAATTCCATATATTTTTATGGGAGAGAAATCAAATTTATTTGGGGTATATTGCTTATATTGGTTAGAAATTTTGCTAATTCTTCTATAAATGTAAGTTTCTTTTAAGACATTGTAAAATATTTGCTTTGTAATTAAGAAAGGTAAAAGTAAAATTTACTGCTTTATTTTAAAATCTGGAAACTATTCTAATTAATTTTCTAATTATCTGTACCTCTCATCAGCAAAATAGGGATTTGGACATGTTCATCAATGCCTCCAAAAACTTCAACCTCAACATCACCTGGGCCGCCAGCTTCTCAGGTAAAAACATACCTAGAGAAGACCTTCTGAGTGGAGTTAATAGATTAAGAAACATGATGTAGGAGTTGAGAAAGAGGGTTCTGAAGAAAGACAGATGGGTTTGAAACCCTGCTTTGCCACTTATTAGCTGGGAAACATTGAGCAAATGTCTAAATCCCTCTCTAGATTTTAGGGTTATTCATCATAAAGAGAATTGTGGTATAGGTTAAATTAGGCTCTACGTGCCAGTGCCTACAGTGGTGCCAGGTTCAGTACATGCTCACTACCGGTGCCCTACCACCACCACTAATAGCATTCTGCAGCTGCTGTTCTGCCACTGCCATTATCCCGTCCGTGCTTCAGAAGTGAAAAATGCAAGTGACTCGTAGTTCCAAGAAATAGAAACATTTAAATAGAATAAGATTTTAGTAGGTACAGGGAAATTCACTTTGGGAATTAAATCAGACTCTATGAGCACAGCTTTTGCTATCTTGCTTATCTTACTGTGAGTCACTGAAGATGTACTGGGGCAAAAATCTACTCAAAAAGTAAAAGGTGGGCCTTAGTAGTGGTTAAGACATAGCTTGACGGACCTGGGTTTGAAGTCTGCCTATTACTTACTGTGCTGCACTGTACTTGTTTTGCCCCTATAGGGGAGATACAGAGCACTGACAAACAGTAAAGGGGAAATGCAGAGCAATTGAAGTGTTGTGAACAGAGTGGATGTCACTGCTTCTTAATTGGATTCTAGTGGTATCTTTATTTTCATGGCCACGTGCAGCCCATAACAGTGGAGGGGAGTTGCAGGGATTCCTGGTAAAATCATTCTGGTTAAGGCCGTGGGCTTGTATCTGTCTTCCCAGCTTCAAATCCCAGCTCCACTTCTTCCTGGCTGTGTGACCTGAACCAAATTACTTAGTTTCTCGGAACCTTAGTTTCCTGATCCGTAAATGAGGATAATAGAGTTGTTAGGATTAAATGAGATTGAGCTCTTAAAGGCTGTTTCTGGAAGAAATGTCGTAAGTGTTTAGTAAATGCTGTTATCCTTATTATTAATGAGGGTAGATTCTGCCCCCCAAAAAATAGTCTCTTCTGTTTAATTCTTTTCTTCCTAATAGCTGGAACCCAGGCTGGAGAAGAGACGCCTGTTGTTTCAAAAACCAACATTAAAGAGTACAAAGATAGCTTCTCTAATGAGAAGTTTGATTTTCGCAACCACCCGAATATCACTTTCTTTGTTTATGTCAGTAATTTCACCTGGCCCATCAAAATTCAGGTAAGATATGCTTTTTGGTCTCATCTGCAGACATGGTGAACTCTCTTTAGTGGAGACTATATTCCCTAATTTGGAATGTGTGGTAAACGAGATGTACAGTATTGCTTTGCCTCTGTAGTATCTATGGCACACGAGTACTGAGCACATGACTACCGTAGAAGATTGTAGTGGGGATGGTGTAGACCACTTATGGAGGAAAGTTATCAGAGCTTTTGAAAGCAAGTTGTCACGTAACAGATTTGATCATTTTAATTGTAATTTCTTCATTGAGCACTTGCCATGTAAAAGTTTGTAGAACTACATAAAGAGCTTCAATTCTGGAGTAAGGTGGGTATAAAGGAAACAAACACACGTATAACCAGTGAAAGTTAGAGTGTGGAAAGTGCCACGTGGAAAAATCCCAGAAATGCGATCAGTTTAAAGGAAGACGGGATAGTGTGTGATGGGAGGCAGTGTAAGATCACATTAAAGAGCTTAGGCCTTACAGTCAAACCGGCGTGGGTTTGAGTCCTGGCTTGCTCCTGTACAGCTCAGATAGCCTCTCCACATCTCAGATTTTTTGTACATGTGACCTGCAAGGGTAAGTCAAAGGATTCATGTCACCTGCTGCAGCCACTACTATTATCCATCTGCTCATTTTCTCTGCTCCCAGGGCACTAGTGGACTCCCTGTCTTCCAAGACACATGGTCCAAATTGTGCTTTTTATAATCATCTGCTACTGTGTCCTTGAGGCCTTGCCTTAATACTTTTCTCTTTCACCACCTTCATTTTGGGTAAATGTGGAATTTAGGGATGGGTGGACTTTCAGGAACTGGTTCACCTTTAGCCATGGAAGCATGGTCACTGGACGAGGGCTGTGGCTGTTTGTCGACTTTCCAAAGCATGATCAACTGAAGCAAGTTCCCACAGATCAGTAAGGATGGGTTTGCAATCTAGTTCTGGTGGTTGTGTGTTCATGCCTCAGGGCTGTGACTACAGAACAATCTTTTCCTTTCCGGAATGTGGAGAACAGGCTGTATTGTATTTTTTCTCACCACCCTCTTTCCTTTTCCTGTCTAAATGGTCTACAAGTTCATCCTCTATTCTGCTTCTCCTTTTGCTCTTGCACGGTCTGCTTCCTTCCTCAGCCAGCCTTCTCGTACGCATTGACCACATTCCCTATTTCTATTTCCTCTTACTCATTCACCCATCAGCCCAGAACAGTCTGTCTCCTCCCCTCACCACATCCTGAAACTGCCCTTAGTGAATTCCAGTTACTGAATTCTCCAGTCTCCACTCTTTCAATAGAGTGACTTGAGTCACTGTCTTTCTTGCCTACCTGGCCCTTTCTGTCCCTGATTCTCTGGCCAGTCTTTTTAGGGGATCTCCTTCCTTAAACATTGGTTGTCTGGAATTCAGGTTGGTTCTCTTCTGTCTTCGTTGTAGTCTCTGGACAGTTCCATCCCACGTGTAGGTACTACTACTCTCTGGTGATTCTCAGGGCTCTGTTTCCAGCTCAGCCTATCCTTATCCCACACCAGTAAGTACTCTTAGTTGCTGCCTAGACGTATCTACCTGGACATCCACAAGCCCTCTGCACTCAGCACATAGTCATTCTTGTGACCTTAGCCCCAAATCCTGTGCTTCCTTTCTCAGTGAATGACACCACCTATTCATCATGTTGTACAAGCCAGGCCTGGGAAGTCATTTGCATTCCAGGGAGAAACCTGACTTGGGCATGGTGTAACATTTTCTTACTTTAAGCATTGCTGGATTCAGGTTGCTAGTATTTCGGTTAGAACATTATATCTATTTCATGCATGAGAACGTCTTATAATTTTCCTTTCCTGTCCTTGTGGTCTTTATATCAAGGTTAAACTAACCTTTAATAATTATAAATTGAGGAATTTTCTTTCTCATTTCTGGAAGAGATTATGTAAGATTAGAATGACATGAACCTTGAATACTTGATAGATCTATAAAGTCATTTGATTCTGGTGTTTTATATTTGGAGTTTTTAACTGCTGATTCAGCTTCTTTAATAATCATAGGATATTTTGGATTTTCTCTTTCTGTTTAGCTCAGTTAAGATTTTTTATTTCATATATTTTTCAAAGGTATTGACACAAAGTTTTTCACACTGTCCTCTTATCTAACCTTTGCAGCATCTGTGCTTAAGTGTACTGAATCATACACTTAAAAATGGTTAAATGGTAAATTTCATCTTATATATATTTTACCCTAACAAAAAACAGTTTTAAAAATCACAAGATTTTTTTGTAAATATAGACAAACTTATTCTAAAATGTATATGAAAAGACAAAGATTCTAGAATAGCTGTAACAGTTTTCAGAAAGAGGAATAGCCTTGGATGGTTTTCTCAGTGATTAGAGCGTCCACCCACAGACTGAAAGGGTCCTGGGTTCTTTTCTGGCCAGGGGCACATACCTTGGTTGCAGGCTCAGTTCCCTGCTCCAGTTGGGCTCGTGCAGGGGGCAACCAATCAATGTGTCTCTCTCACATCGATGTTTCTCTCTCTCTCCTCCCTACAACTTCCACTCTGTCTGAAAAGCAATGGAAAAAATATCCTCGGGTGAGGATTTGGGG